TCATCAGGCCCTACAGACTTTCCACCCTTTGTTTTCTTTAAAGCCTCCTCAACTTCTTTTTTGCTAATGCGACGGTAAAAATGAAACGTTTTATTATTATTTACGATATTAAAATCACTAAGGTCGATCGTATTTTCAGAAACTTCATTAAAAAGTTTATCAAAGTAACTCACCCACCTATGTTGAATATCTTTTTCTAAGAAAAGTACTTTTTGATTTTCATCTTTAATACACTTTATCCCAAATAAAATTTGTTGCTTCATGAACATCCTAAATTTGAAAATCTTAAATTTTACTCATAAAAATAATTTTATTTGTGACTTTTAAATGCCCACATTTAATTTTATGACAATGATTCTTATTATTTTTAATTTTACAACTATTCTTCTTAAAATCCAAAACTAATAATTGATATTAAGTACTTAAATTTTCACTTGAATGACCTTATAATCTTTACATTCTCGACAATCTCTTCTTCTCATAAGAAAATATCATAAGAAAATAATTAAATTGTGTTTTATTAGATCTATTCTTATAAATTTCTCTTTTCTTAAATAAAATATTAACAATAATCAAATCATATGCTAAAGTAAACTCTAAAATGGTTATATCTTTTTCATTAATCACTTCAAAATCGTAGCCACCATGAATATTTCTAAAATTTTTTACCACTATTCCAACATGTCCATTTAAATCTTCTCCAATAAAAAATATTTCTTCAAGAGGTATAATTTATATTAATTCTTCTACATCATTCCAAATTTTTTCTTTAGAACATATATCTAAACCTGCTTGAGGAGCATAAGCACCTATAACATTAAAAATTTTAGTATCAACAACAATCTTATGGGCTATAATTCTATCTTCAATTCTATTATTTTTTACAACATTATCTTTCAAACTCTTATCTATAATAAAACTTACATTATTTCTAGTGCGACTCTCACCTTAATAACAAAGTTTAAAACCTAAGTTAACAATCTCCTTAGTCTTTTCTCCAACTCATTTAGTTTCTAGAATACATAATATATTTATTTTCTTGTGAACTATAATATCAACTAATCTCATTAATTTACCTGTGAGAGTACATATATTCCAATATTATAACCTAATATTAGTTTCACGGACCAAGTTCTTTACTCACATTCATTTGTAATATGGGAACACTTGCTTATTTGACACTATACCCGGACGTCGAAGTTGTGACCCTTGCACACTTTTCATTGCATTCAGGTCATAATACACGTCGCTTCCAAAGAACGCCCTAGACATACGCATAAGCATGTTCTCGATAATTGTTTCCTAAAACATTTTAATATAGCAAGGATTATTGTTTCCTTTTCTTCTCGCACTAATTTGATCAATTTATTATAAATGTTTGAACCAGTTAAATCTATTTTCAATCGCCTTATTTCAATATATATCATTCCAACATTTTTTCTAATACACATATTCATTTATTATCCCTACTAATTTTTTTACATATCCATCTTAACATTATCATTAATGTCACGCTTAACTTAAATAGCAATAATTTTTTCACAACCATTCAAATCCATACAACATCACCAACGAAATTGTATATTAATAAAATTCAGAGTTAAGCTTCCAAAAAAACCTATCATAAAACAAAATTCCCAAGGCACTTCTCCATTTTAACCATTCAGTTTTAAATCAATAAGTTATATCAACAGATATATCAAAATTTCTCGGCCCCAATTAGTGGGATAAAGGCTTGCTATTGTTATTGATCAGACATATCAAAATTCTATTTGTAACTCTTGCAAGCCTGAATTTTATCTTTTCTTCTAATAATATTGAATGATAATTTTTAGCATGAATACTCACTAAAATTACATATCATACATTGAATATTGTTCCACTAATTCTAAAACCTCAATCTTCTAAAAATTTCCTTCATTGCTCTTAATTATCTAATAATTTAAGTGGATGTCTCACAAACTATAATATAATCATCTAAAAAGAAATGCACCATGGCACCTAGTTTTAAATGTCTGTTGCAAACATCTTCACAATAAAAACAAAAAAGATAGAGATATAATGTTAATCCCTGAAACAAACCTATGATAATTGAAAACTCTTGGGTCACTCCACAACTACCTATAATACTAGTTACTGCTACAGCAAATGTCTTTAAAATAAAGATTCTTTGATTTAAATAAAGTAGGAGAAATACATTTCAAATAAGGATGCAATGAAAGAAAATTAAAAATAAATCGTATCGAAAAAAGCATTAAAAGGGAAGAAATAATAAAGATAGAAACATGTTTATTAGAGTATGATAGCTATTGCATATTGTAAACACAAAAACATATTATGATGATATGCTCCACAAATACAACCTTACTTCCAGGATGAGCCATTGCATTACGAAAGTTTGCATTCTGCAGAAGCTCTAGAAAGAAAAGACAATGTGGATACCTGTACAATTCCAGAACAACTTGGGTTGAATTTGCAACTTATATAAAGTCAAATTTTACACGCTTATGCCAAATTCAGAAACAAATGTTTTGGAAGGTAATGTTCAACTTTGAAATAGCAGAAAGAGCATGTCTTTTACTAACATAATGAACTTTATGTACTCTGGTCTTTGCCAGTACTGAAGATACTTTAAGTATCCAATAAAAGCTTCATCTTCGAAATAGCGATTTTGAGCCAAATCTGCAAAATTAATAAAGCAGGAAAGCAATTTATATACAATGCTTGCTTGGTAAATTAGGACGAATTTGATCATGAATGTCGTGAGTAAGCAAAAACAACATGAATCCAAGAAGATTCTCAATATATGACCTATAATATAATGACTTGGAAACATATAACACAAAAGATAAAAAAAAAATGAAACACTATAATCAGCTCACAGTGGATATATGTTGGATTGGCTAGACACTGCACAAATTCCAGCTCCAGCAAAAAGCGCTGGCGGCCATCATCGGGGTCCTTGTACGGGTTTTTCGGCCTGTAAGGGTAAATCTCTAATATAAAAAGATTTCATTTCTAACAGTTAAAGATCGGATCGATACCCTAAAAATGAGCAAAAGAAGTGAAGAAGAATAACAGTCAATCAAGGATAGGAATACTTGCGCGGATGGGGACCCTGTAGAACGATCCGCGTCTTCTTTGGTGGGATGCATCGAAAGTTCAAGCGCACTGAACAAGCTATGTCGAAATCGGAGCGACGCCGAAGGCACTAGCGGAAGCCAGCCTGTCGCTAAAATGGAAGTTCGCTAGACAAACGATTCAAACCAAAATAATTTTTTTTGCGCTCAGCCGAACATAAATAAAATTTTATTTATTTGTATTTTGCTTATTTTGACTCAAAATAATTGATGAGTATTTTTTAAAATAATTTATTTGACTATAAGCTTATAAAATTTAATAAGCAATTAAAATGATTAATTAAAAAATAAAATTCTATTTAAATTAATATTTTTAATATAAATAATAAGATTTAAATTTTGCTACTACTATTAATATTTTAAGGGTAAGACTATGTAATTAGGGTTATCAAAATGATTTGTTGTTCGTGAACAGTTCATGTTTAGCTTGTTAAGTTAACGAGCCAAAGACGAATAAATTTTTTGATCTTGGTATATAAACGAGTCAAACTGGAACAGTGATTTTATTTAACAAGCCTAATATGAATCAAGCTTGGGCTTTACACTCAATTTGTGATATCTAAAAAGATAATAATAGTATATAGGGAATACAAACATAGCATTCTAAAACGAAATTTTTTTTTAACTTGCTATATAAATGAGTCAAACTGGAACAGTGATTTTATTTAACACGCCTAATATGAATCAAGCTTGGGCTTTACACTCCATTTGTGATATCTAAAAAGGTAATAATAGTGTATAGGGAATACAAACATAGCATTCTAAAACGAAATCTTTGGGCAAATCATAATCAAATCAGTGAGAATTTGATAGAAATGAATAATATGGGTTGCACTTTGATCATGAATTTTGATATTTGGGTGAGAATTTGAAAAATGGATGAAACAAGATGCTAGATTTGTATAAAGCAATATTTTTGGGTGCTATGTATATAAACCACCCTATCTAACACAGCATAAATAAGAATACATCCATCATTTGATTCATAACAAATACATCAAAAGTACATATATGTTTACAACATCACATATAGATAATGACAGTAACTATATCCCCTACATTCCAAACTCTACAAACACATTGACACAATAACTCGCTTAAACAATATTATATCAGCTAATCATATGCAAAATAAATGAAACACGCAAAAATGATTCTAGTCAAATTCTTCATATGAAATGCGACAGAATAAAATTTATTTTTACCCACCTCATCATGAGCGAAAAGCTGACACAAAATATTATGCACTAATGCTTCATTTTTGTCTACCCATTTGAAAAACTAATAATCATCTTTCATCTATTTTGAACAAACCTTTTTTTTTTTATTAAGAACATAGAGAAATGAAATAAGAGAAATTAATGTCTTCATTTTGCATATGATTCAATACATGTGGCTCGCTTTTATAAACCTGGTAATGGCATACTCGTAACTCCATCTAAGGGTAAAGTAGGAAATATGCACTATGATGTTTATAATATATAAGTTGTCTATTTGAGAAACCCTTGCATAAAGGGCAAACTGGTTGGTAGCCAAGGCAACTGCGAGTTAGAGGGATTTTGGATGCTAAATAGAGGGATTCCTTCAATGATACCGGATACTTCCCCGTGAGCTTGCTTGTAATGAGTTTATGTCACGCGACAGGGAGAGATTTAGTGAACTGCAGGTTGATCCTCCATGAAGATATGTTGTAGATCATTATGTTTTAGCTTGAGGTGATTACGAAAAAAGTGGTGATCCACCTCTATATGCTTTGTTCATGCGTGAAAAATTGGATTATGTGCTAGGGCTATTGTCGATGTGTTGTCACTATAGAGTTTAGTAGGTTAGAGTTGAATATGATTGTGTTCCTAAAATAATCTTCTTAGCCAATTTATTTTTGTTGCGGCTATTGCTAAAGCTTTGTCCTCTGTTTCGATTGACGATCGTGTTATACTAGAATGCTGCTTGAAACTCCACGAACTAAGTGCGGACCCTAAATATATGCAATAACCAGTTATAGATTTTCTATAAGCCGAATTATCTGCTCAGTCTGTGTCAACATATGCATGTAATTCTGAGGTTGTCAGGTTTAATCGATAGCCCATAGTTGAGGGTTCCTTTTAAATACCTGAGTATCCTTTTGAGCATTTGAAAGTGTCGAGTATTTGGAATATGCATATATTGACTGTCGGCACTATTTTTGGTGTAGGGTTTGCCCGTAAGAAGCTGTAGGTCATCGGAATTGAAATCCCGTTGCCCGCTTCGGAAGGGGTTATTTGTGAAGGAGTGTTGTTGATTGCATGAGGATTCTTGGCTAATAATGTTAGAACGTATTTTGACTCAAACACGTTAGTGTGTTTTCATAAAAATCTATGACATATTTGATTTATTGCACGAAATAGCCTTGATTGGTTTTATTTATTCGTATGCCAAGAAAATTGGAAAGGTAGTAAAGCTGTTTTAAATTAAATTGAGTTCCAAGAGTCGTGATTAACTTGTTTATTGCATATATATTTATTTACAGTAATTAAAATATCATCTACATATATAAGAAGTAAAATTTTAGTTTTGTCATGTTGATAAAGAGGTAAGAAGGGATCAACATTGCTTAATTAAAATTTTTAATTTAGAAGAAATATAAAGTGGAATACCACTGTCTCGGAGCTTGATTTAGGCCATAAACGACTAGTTAAAGCTTACATACATAATGAGGGCATTGATTATCTATGAAACTTAGGAGTTATGACATATAGATAAGTTTCCCGTGCAAGATGGCATTGGAAACATGCAATTGCTGGATTTCCCAACTTTTTGTAGTGGCTAATTTTATTAGCACATGAATTATGGAGAACTTGGCAACATCACTAAATGTTTCTTCATAATAAATTCCCTATTGTTGCTCAAGGCCTTGACCTACGAGGCAAGCTTTATAGTGAGCAATTGACCCATTCATGCGATATTTAATGTGAAAAGTCCATTTACAACCTAGAATATTTTGAACAATTGGTGAGTGGCTTGTTGTTGCAAAGCTATGAACTCTTCAGACATGGCTTTTCTTCAATGAGAGCTTAATGTGTATGTCTAATTATTGTTGATGCGAGAGATTGAATGTTTTGATGGGTTTTAGGTGGCCAGTTTTTTAATAGTAACCATAGGATGTGTGTTGGGTGGAGGACTAGCAATGAGAGAAGGTGTGTTGTGTGTTTGGTGGGCTTAAGGAGAAGAGTTGGGTTGTTGAGGTGATGAGAAAGGTATGGTTTGGTCATTAATTTATTAGATGATTTTGATGTGATGATGGGGGATGAGAGAGTTGATAGATTTGGTGAGAAGGGTGGAGGTGGGAATTAACAAAGATGGGGATGGCTGAGTTTAAGGGTTATCATTTTGATTTTTGAAAAGAGTGAGGTCTTGATAGAGGATATGAGTTTACAATAACTTAACATGCTAGGGAACAATGTTCATTTGTTGGGAGATGCCATAGTAGTTATATTCTTTATGTTGTTTACCATATTCTAAGAAAATGCATAAATGAGCTTTGGGGGTGAATTTGCTAGTATGAGATGCCGACAACTATATTCTAAGAAAATGAATAAATGAGCTTTGGGGGTGAATTTGCTAGTATGAGATGGAGGGTGATAAGGAAAACAAGCATAAACAAAGGTTCGTAAATATTGGTATTCAAGTGGCCGCTTGAACAAAATTTGAAGGGAGACGTGTCGAAGGTATTTGGTGATTGAAGATGATTAGTTAAAAAACGACTGTATCAACTACGACAAACTATAATTGAAAAAATAATTTAGCATGATTTAATAATGTTCTAATAGTTTCTATAATATGCATGTTTTTTTTTTTCTATTCTGTTTTGTTTAGGTGTGTATGAGCAACTTATTTGATGTTGAATGTTGTGATTTTGGAGATATGTTTAAAGATAAGTAGTTTTATATTTATTGCCTCCATATGATCTTAAGTATTTAATATTTATGTTAAATTGATTGCATATTTGTTTATACAGAGAGATAAAACAAGAAGTTACATCAGATTATGCAAGTAAAGGAAAGCACCAACAGTAACGGGAAAAACATCTATGAATGTGATATAATACTTGTAATCGTTAATAGAAGAATAAGCAAAAGGATCCCAAATAGTGATATGTAACATTTCCAAAAGAGTATACTAAGTAATGCTAGAAACAAAAGACTTTTTATGGCTTTTCCGTTAATAGAAGAATAAGCAAAAGGATCCCAAACAGTGATATGTAACATTTCCAAAAGAGTATACTTAGTAATGCTAGAAACAAAAGACTTTTTATGGCTTTTATTTTGATATCATTGAATACAAGAAATAATAGGAGGAGACACGTGTAGTTGGGTTCATATGAGATATGTATTTTAGTGTTTTAATGTGAGGATGCCCAAGCCTATCATGTCAAATATTATTTTTCTTGAGTGTTATTCAAGCGATGATCATGTACAACTCATTATGTGTTGGTCCATGTAAAAGAATTTTCTGAGTAACAAGATCCTGTATGATAAAGTTGTCGACATCAATAAATATTGAGCAATTGTTATCTTCAGCGAGTTAATTAACATATATTAGATTATGAGAAACATGGGGATCTTAAAAGAGAAAAGAGAGGATTAGCTTATGATCTGGTGTGGGTAATAACACAATACCTACATGAGAGATTTTTGTTGTTTATTCATTGTCCACAACAATCCTATCATATTCAGTGTAATGATTCGTAGGTGGTGGTGTGGTGGAATCAAAAAAGGATTCGAAACCGTTAGCAAGAAAAAGTTTCATGATTCGTACCTTCCTCATGACATAATTTTCATAGGTTAGAGGAGAATGGACGACATTCTTGATGTTTGTCATCAATAATTTTAGTGCAGTTGGGATATTGATTTATTTTACTATGTTGAAGGTGTTGGTGGGTAGCTGGGATACATGTATGGATGTTGGAGATGAGAAATTCATTGATCTTGATGCTTTGAAGCTGAAGCTCTAATACCATAAACGAACCTTTCCTTAATTGAGAATAGAGAGAGAAAATAAGAAGCTTTATGTTTTCATTATATATCCGAGTAAATACATAAGTCCCGATTTTATAGACCCATGAGTGACATACTTGTAATTACATATAAGGGTAAAGTAAGAAATATACACTGTGATATTTATAATAAACTGTTTATTTGTGAAACCCTTGCAGAGAGGACAAACTGATTGGAGGGGAAGGCGATTGCGAGACAAAGGGTTTCCATATGCTAAATCGTGGGCTTCCTCCAACGATACCAGATACATATAAGCCTCTTTAGATTTGGGTGCATCGAGAAACCTTTTTGTCATTCTTTTCACATGTGTGAGCAATGTATTTAATGTATTACAAATTGCAATTACAACACACTTAACTATTTTGAAATGCACAGATAACTGTTGATGAACGGCTTAAGCTCATTTTTCCTCGATTCCTAAACACAAAAAGTACCTACAACATATTAGTAAATTTGATTTAATTCTTTTTTTAAATAAGATGTGTCATACAACCAAAATAAACAGAAGATATTAATGATGACTCATGCACAACATCACAACTTAAATAAAAAGTATTACACAAATGTTTCTCAACTAAAATTTAGAAATCAAGATCACCTCAACTTGTTTGGATTAAACATGAATATTTTAGATCATTTCAAGAGCCACAAAGAAGTAAGAAATAAAAAAAAAATGCAATTGAAAAACATACCTCTAAACTAAGGTTTTCAAATTAAATACCATGAAAGATAAAAAAAAAAAAAAAATTGTAACATGGGACGGAGGAGGCCAAGGGCCCAAGAGCCTGAACAAAAGACACAATTAAGAAAAAATATTATGCCATTAAAAAATACCAATAACATCTTCTAAAATATTTAATTTATTGCGCTGAATTGGAGAAGCAATAATGTCATCCATTCATCATCGCCCGAACCAGCCTTACCCAAGTGGCCAAGCTGAACAGAGATTCACAATTTGCCGCCGAATCTCCAAAATGCTCGGTGGTCCTCACGCTCTTCTCCTCCTTCTACTCGTCCATCCGGCTGTTACATTTGATGTATCGGCGGCGGATGAGTTTTTCTGCTCCGTTCCCTCTCTCCATTCCAAGCCAGACTCCAAACCAAACTACTCGAAAGTGACGAACCCAACTCTCTCCCCTTCCCACTTTCAAGGTAATCTTTAATCATGGAAAGCCGCTTAAGTTGTTTCAGATTTCTGCTGTTTTAGTTTTTTCGCCGTTGTTTTCAGCAACCACAAACCCGAAATGTAAATCGCTTACCTTTTTCAGATTCTGGTTGCTTTAGTTTTTTCACCCCTGTTTTCAGCAACGACAAATTCGGAAATTTTCGATTACGATTCTCAGCTTGGCGATCGCCATGGCATGAACAGCGTTTCACGATCTTGTTAATTATCTGTTGCTTTTCCATTACATTGCATGGTTTGCCACACTGCAGTGCTACTATTATTGGCTAACTTGATTTTCTTCTTTCGTTTTCAACTGAAGTGATCAGCCGGAATACCGTAAGTTGCATGAAAGTAATAGCTAAATTTCGTTGAATCTTGGGGGACATGTTTGCTTTTGCCTGTTATTTGGCGCCATTTCATAGTTTATGAATTTTGATCGATCTTACTTTATGCGCTTTGTCTATATTAATGTTAAACGATTTTGCTTACTGCAGATCTTCCAGGATTTACCCGCAGTGTCTATAAAACTGACCATGCCCTAATCACTCCTGAAAGTCAAGTATTTAGTCCTCTGCCAAACTGGTAAGATTTTAAATATATAGGCATCTAGCTAAAATATGAGCATCATTATCTTCTCCTCATTAACATCACCCTCATATCATACCAATTATGATTGGCTTTGCTAATTCTAAACTTTCATCCTTCAATTTTCAACATTTAATGAAAATATCCTTTGTCTTTTAAAGGCTGAATTCACTGGGAGCTTATTTGATCAGCCCTGCAACTGGTTCTCACTTCACAATGAACTTGGTGAAGATGCAAGGTAGGGGAACCATTGTTAGTTAGAATATATAATATTGGGAGATTTATATGCGTACCACATAATTCTTATTTATTTACGTATCTAAAACGTAAACTTTGTGATATATATTTATAACACTTTGGTGTTATAAACAACAACAACAACAACAACAACAACAAAGCCTTAATCCCACTACGTGGGGTTGGCTACATGAATCCTTTTTCTCCATTGCGTCCTATTTAGTGTCATATTTTCATTTAGTTCTAGTGAATAAAGCATAAAAAAAAAAAAAAAGAAGG